TAACGGGTTTGTACAACCCTAATAGTTTACTACATCACTTACTAGAAAATCGGTGGAAATAATAAATTTCATTTATTACTCGTTAGGCAGAAATGCACATTTTTTCGGCACAAAAAGGCAGAAATGGTCAAAAAACTGAGGGAAATCTAATACTACTCACCAACAAGGAATCTTAATTGTCCTGGGATACAACCAATCAGGTAACTCTTTTGGGACCGGGTGCCTCAAGAGTAGACCCCCCCCCCCCCCGAATTTAGGGAAGCCATTGCTATTGCTCCGTGTTGAACTGCATAGCCAGAGAAACTAGGTTGTGGGACGGTATTGGGTTGGACTTGGAAATATTTAATAAAAAGCCCAACTCGTGGAGAAGCGTTTGCGTCAATCACATATGCTTCGCTAACACCTCCCTGTCTCAGTTGTGTAATGACCAGTCATCGAGGTATGAGTTCAGATAAATCTACGACCAGTGTAGCAGCTGGGTCACCTGTCTTAGCACCCTGGTGAAGACGTATGGCGCCATACACAAACTGAATGGGAGTCGCTCAACTCGTAAACTTTGCCCTCTAACGAGAATCTGAGATACCGTCTGCATGAGTCGTGATTGGAAATGTGGAAATATGCATCGCTCAAATCCAGCGACACCAGCCAATCACTTGAGTGCACTGACAGAAGTACCGTAGCTGGTGTTTCCATCTGGAAGCGATTGAGCTCCACAAACCTGTTCATTCGACTGAAGTCTAGGACCGGACGTGCCCCCCCGAACTCTTGGGAAAGAGGAAGATGTGGGAATAGAACCCTGGAACTGAATTGGGGTTCTCCACGAGGCATATCGCCCTTTTCTCCAGAAGACTGGCTACTTCCTGTCAGACCGTCTTCGCTTTGACCTTGTCCCTCGGCAGAAGACCATGGGGAGGATGAGGAGTCAGAGTAGGAGGAGACCAATGAGAAATCTGATACCCCTGAGACACTACTGCGAGCATCCAGGGAGAGGAAACTCTCCTGCGTCAAGCTGGTGTATGCTGCATGAGGTGCGATCCTACGGGAAGAAGCGCTCTCCATAGCCTGCTCCACACGAGGTGTCCGGGGAGTTGGCCAACAGGCGTGGTAGAGGAGAGTGCCAATTGAAACAGGTTCAAAGGTGACTCCCCCATCTGGGGTGGGAGGATTACCACCGGTCCCACATGGAACAAAAGTCTCGCGCCAAGTACTGCCCGGTTCACAAGCTGCATCCTTAACTGCATATTAGTAAGGGTCAGCTAGGCTCCAGTTGGCTGGGTAGCCTGTGATAGTCCGGAGAAGGAGGGAACAAGAGATGACAAATTGCCCCTGGGGAAGTGGTAGGTGCACCCCCACAGGGGGGCAGCATACCACCCTGCACACGAGTACTAACACAGGAGTCTCCCCCCCTCGCAGAGTCACAAGTAGGGGCACTCTGCGGAGCTCGGTGAAACACAGGAAAAGAAGCCTGGTGCCTAAGGGGGTGGGTGGGAAATTTGGAGGAGGGCGCGTAGGGTGTTCCCTTCCAGAGAGAGCATCCCCCTCCATAGGAGAAGTGGATGCTCCCTTTCCCACTGATTCGAGTTGTCGACCCTCTGAAGGAGAGACGGAAGGATGGGTCACATCTGACCCAAGTCCTGGCGGGGGAGGGACAGGCAGGATTACAGCCAGTGCCCCTCCCCCTGGACTCTCACCCCCCAGGTCCTTCTGCGTTGTACCCTGTGACTGCAGGAGGGAGTTCACTTTAGAGGCCAGATCGAACATCCAGGCCTTCGAAGTCATCTCGTCACCATGGGAGGAGGGGCCCCCCCACGACTAAAGGGAAGACTGTACACACACAAGCAACTCAGGCTGCATCGGTACCAATTAAGTCACGGTGGATTGGGCCTCAGAGATGAATGGCTGGGGATTTTCACTTACCTTCAGCTTTCCCCTTCGCCTCAAAGTGCTTCCACGTTTGGGAGTCCCATAGGCCGCAAATGCCCTCGAGACAAATACCTGAGTCCTGCATGCAACCCAAACAAGCGTGACAACACATTTGTGGGTCCCAAATCAGCACTACTGAGTGGCCAGTTCAGCATGTCTTATGTGCCGATGATTTTGTCGGCACGTTCTTAGTCTTTTTCGATCACTGACTTAGGCATAATGCAGTCTAGGAAAAGATTAGAAATGAGATCGTGAAAAAACGGTTAATTCACCCTTGAAAAAAAAGAGTCAAGGCGAATTCAAACTGTGCTGGCGATTCAACAAAAACAGGCGAAATATGGGCCCTTGTAATGGAAAGCCCTTACCATTAAGTTGGAACTGTCACTGTTGATCATCAAATCACTAGATTTCTAGGAAGCTCAGTGAACAAACAAATGTACATGTATGTGCCTCTTTTGTCATGCAAATGCTGAAGCGGAAAAATATTCCAATGTATTGAGAGCGAAAACAAAAAGAGAGAAAGGAGAATGGAATGGGAACTACAGGCTTCAATGAGTGATCACCCTGGGGGGGGGGGGGGGTGACCCCTTAGGCGAGGCCTTTTTCATAGAGAATGTTACCCTAGGGTGTTTTCTTTGGACCCGGGATATATACTCTAATAGTTTCTGTTTAGGGCTATAATCTGTAATTTTTAAAAAATCTAACGAGCAATAAAATGAAATTTATTATTTCCGCGACTTTTCTGGTAGGTGATGTAAGGATCAAATAATGATGAGATAAGGAGTTTGAACAAAATCCATCTGTAAACAGCCGAGAAATGCTTGATTTTGATGATTTTTTAGCACAAAAGGCCACCATTCGGCCTTTTTTAATAGGATCGTCAAACCAGTATATCTGTATATCTATGACATGATGTATAATGAATATTTAAAATTTGAACATAATCAGTCACAGCAAGTCAGAGATATGGCACTAGAACCACATTCACTAAAGCAAAATGGCCAAGTTTGAACAAAATCCATCTGTAAAGAGCCAAGATTTTGATGATTTTTAGAACAAAAATGACCACCATTTGGCCATCTTTAATCAGATCGTGAAACAAATTGATCGATGTGCATATGAACAATATCATGTATGATTAATGTGTGAAGTTTGATTGTGATTGGTCCAGGCATTGCTAAGATACAGGAGGTCAAAACACAAGTCCTAGAGAATAATGTAGATATTGAACAACAGAGATATAGGTTAGAAAATTTGGAAACTGTACCTATACTGTTAAAGTCATTCTGTTAAAATAACGTTTGTCAAAAAAACAAGAAATTGTGATAAATTTTTGGCTCAATTTATTAGGTTGAATAACTTTACTCTGGGAGCACTTACAGAGTCATATTGGGGTCTTGGTACTATTATTTGACTTTAATAGTCTGAATTTGTGAAAGGCAGTGATTGTGCAGTTCTCATATGGTATAGCTCAACTCAAAGTAAATCATACAAAATATCAAACCAATCATGTAAGCAATTTTCAAGGAAAAGCTGATTATAACAAAAGTATAATATAGGGCAGTAGATGGAAATTCGTGATGATGCCTTCAATATTAGCAGCGTTGAGGACAGATATTCAACACATACATACAATACACAATGGACAAGGAAGAAAAGAATATACACATGTATTCAAAAATAATACTTTATTCAAAGAATTGTTACTCCTGAAAATAATATTAATATTGAAATATTACAGTTGGTGTAAATATTTTCATTATCTTGTTGAACATCAAAAAGGAAATGGAAAATAAAACGAGCGATAAACAATCCTTTAGCAGAATCAGTCTGTAATCAGCAGTGTGTATAAATAACATTGGCATATACCAAGTATGATTGACAGGTGTCATAGCTGATTTTTGACAAGTTGAATGTAAAATATATGAAAGTAATTTTGCAGTCATCGAGCAAACTTTGCAAGAGGTTTCCCATATGACAAGATTGTTATAAAACTGAAACGTCATGATCGTAACCAATTAAACAAATGATTTGTTGAAGTTAATGTGTTGAACAATAAATCCATTAAGTACGGTATCGTTTTTAATCATCTAATGACTTCCTTATATTAGAAAGAAGTTACATAATCGGAAACTAGAGGCGTCTCCACATGTGGACAATAAAATAATAGGACTTCCTTCTGATAAGGACAATGCAATACTGTATAATACTTTATTCTAGCTGTAATTAATTTTCGCTGAAATGACTTTTTGGGTGTTCTGTATGGAATTTATTTTCACTGATTTTTGATGAGCTGAATGTAAGTAAAATAATGAAGAAAAGATATATTCACTGAATTTTACTTCCACTGAATCATCCCTTCAATGAAAATAAATTGCAAGCAATAATAAAGTAATTGACAGCAGATCTTGGCCACCCTCACAGTTTTTTGTGTGCGAGTAACTCAGAAAGAGGCTCCATGGGATAAACTTGTTTTGTTGCAGGTACATTTACGGAAACCAATCAAAACAAATGTATATTTGAAATGAACATGCATAATTAAGTTATATTGCATTATTGTCTTTTTGTACACATGATCATGCTTGATTTCATAAATTATTAAAAAAAATGAAATATCAGAAGTAACAAGTATCTACCAATTACATATCTGTCATGCGGTGCTGTGTAAAGGATTCAATTTCCAAATAAAATATATTATTATACATCTGTCGCCATAACGTCGTAAGTTACAGCGTGCCGTAATTTTGCGGTATTTTACAGGGTATTTTCATCCTACCATATAAGGAAATACAAATTCCAAGTATGGAATGATCATGCACGTAAGCATCCTCTAATAATAAAAACAAACATGGCTGCCATCGGGGTTTGACCGGACTCCAGACAAAGAAGTTCGCTGATTCTGTTCTAAACCTTTTGGATTTTGGCATTCCCATGATGTATCCTTGGAAGGAAAAGATGTATAATAATAAGGTTATTACAAGGATACCTCAAGTATGCACTCAGACAGTACACCATTGCATAAGTGTGACTGACTTGTGTTTTAGGGATTGTCACACACTTCCACATTTGAGCAATTACTATTTTTGCCTTCTTCTAATATATCCCATAATATTAATAACAAAACCTGATACAAATAAAGCTGCCAGAAAGTTGAATCCATCCAGATGTCCAATATTATCTCGTATAGTAATGACAGATTGCTTCAAGAAATTAGGCACTTTAGTTTTCTTTTTCTTTGTTGGTGTCTGCTAAGAATAAAAAAAATATACTGATTTTATTTACAAAGTCCCCATGACTGCCAGTCAGCTATAAATTATCAGATTCTAAAACACAATATGATACTTATATTTCTCAAGAGGAATTCTCTGACAATACTATCATGTGATCATAGAAAATGACCATCATGAAATTTTAAACCACTCGGTCAATTTAAATCAACCTTGATACGACAATCTAATATATCTTGTAAATATCAAAATTACTGAATAACACATTCTAAAGATTGCAGTCACTGACTTTCAGTTCACCAACACTTTTTCAGTACTACTCTTTAAATCGATAAAATAACCTGTCCCTTTACTGACCTGAACAATTCCATTTTTTTTAAGGTAGTTCATTAATGATTCATCTTGCAGTGTAAATGTTGGCATGTATTCTTTGACCCACTTCCTTCGCCACCATTTACTACATATGATAAATATCAAGAAACAAGACATGAATGTCACAGTCCCCGTCATTTAATTATAAAATACTCATGTTAAAATAATACATGGAACATCTGCAAACAGTTGAATTAATATGTACTCTATGTGGATGCAACTCATCATAAAGTAAGTGATTTCCTTTAATCTAGTATTGTACTGATAACTGAAAAATCTCAGAGTACACAAGTGCAACCAAACTATGTCTTAAATCTGAGTAAACCTTGATGCACCTTTAATAACAACTAGACTTCTTTGTTAATTCAAGTTATTGTATATTTCCAGGACCTGGGTTTGTTTCAATATCACCACTATAATTCCCATCAAAATGTAACCCCGACACCCTTCTACAGTTTCCACTGAGATTCGTAATGGTACACCCATTTATCCACAAGCCCTGACAACTGAAGTTATATTTAGACCATATGTGTTAATGTGCCTGGCCAAGATTTATAAACAGTAAATGTGAAGTGTTTTCACTGATCTTCAACTTTGTGACCATGCAGGTATTTCAGTGATGGCTCTTTATAATGGAATGCAATTTTTACAACATTTCTGACCAACATTTCTGATTTCAGCTTTAATTTTTCATAAAACCAAACAAAAACAGACTGTGGTCCATTTCTGTCACTGATTCAGATCAAGGTCATGACTTCATTGAAAACCCTAGCATTACAATTTGAGCTAATTATTTATTCTGAGCATGCTCAGTTGTTCTGTCAGTGTTATAGAGAGGAGTAACTTTGGATGAAAATCTTGAAAAAAGACCTAGACTTAGAATTTTCAGATCTGCAAAAAAAAATTATGTGCATATTCAACAGAGACTTGTTCATCAACCTACCAAGTTTCATTGATATCTGCTGCAGAATTTCTGAGAAAATGTTAGAGATGTAAAGGGATGTAGATAGACGGAAAGCAGAAATTAGAAACTGTAATCCGCCTTTAAGGCTGCACCTGAGCAGGGACTAATAAACATACATTCAAATCTCTGCACTTTTTTGTGAAATGCTGCCTTTAGAGAGACAAGCAGCCTGTCGGCTAAGATAGCTCTGCTGTTAGCAATGCACATTTCAATTAAGAACTGAAGATATCATTAGAAAATGAACAATATGTATAGTATTAAAACAATCAGACTTGCTGTTTTCAACAAGAATTAGAAAATGTCACTTTTACCAAATATCACAAAAATATTCACCAAAATTAGAGAATTAAAGATATCATCACGAAATGAACAAATCTGAGAAAGGTCCACATGTAGTATCTATATATGTAATATCAAAGCATTTGGACTAGCGGATTTTAACGAGAAGTCAAAAATACCACTTTTTAACAAAAATGACAAAAATATTCATCAAAATTAGAGAATTAAAGATATCATCACGAAATGAACAAATCTGAGAGAGGTCCACATGTTGTACTTATATATGTATTATCAAAGTAATCGGACTTGTGGTTTTTAACAAGAAGTTGAAAATATCACTTTTTCCAAAAATGACAAAAATATTCTTAACAAGTCATTGAAAATGACACAGTGCCTGTTAAATTTTTGAAAGTTCTCTTTGTGCTCGTCATATTAAAGCCAAGGGGTTGTCGCGAGCGTGTCCTTGAAACTTGAGTTCCAAGTGGCGTATACAACAGATTGTTTATTTACATCAAAACACAAGTTCTGTGTAGTAGTAATATGGCCAAAAATAAAAACAGCCGTTATTCGGCCATCTTTGATCTGATTATGAAACACATTGATATGTATATGTATGTGCCAAATAAGAATGAAAATGGTACATAAATTGTGGAAATATAGTAGTAAGGCCAAAAAGTCGGATGGCTGTCAATCGACCATCCTCGACCATATTTGGAAACAAATTGTCATGGACATGCATCCTAACATGTATAAAGTACATGTATGTGCCAAATTTGAATGAAAACTGACAGAGCACTTCCAAGATACCGCATAAAAAAAAAAAAAGATGCCTGCCAGTCGACCATCTTTGATCCAATTGCGAAATAAATTGTCATGGACATGTATCCTAACATGTATAATCTATGTACCAAGTTTGAATGACAACTGACAAAGCATGTCCAAAATACAACATTTTCAAAAAACAAG